ATGACGTTGACGTTCCGTTCCGAAAATACCCATATTGTAGGGTATTCAACACTTTATCTGAAAACCGATGGCCGCCATGTTGGATTCCAAAATCGAATAACGATTTCTACGTTCCGAAAATGTCCATAACTTAAAGCGAATTTGTTTATTATTCAGTTCCAACCTGGATCGGGTATCAAGATCGGCTCTGCTTGGTTTCCAACAGACATCAGTTTGCTCGTTTGTTTTTAAAACCTACCTCAGGTTTTACTCTATAGTAAAAAATCCACTATTAGGGTTTTTGAAACGTTTTCAAAAACCGATGGCCACCATCTTGGATTCCAAAATGGCGTTGAATATCGATTTACGGCATCTACGCGTCGTTCAAGTTCGGAAAATACCAATTTTAGACATTTCCTGAGCTCGATAGTCACCATCTTGGATTTCAATCGGACATCGATTTTCGGCACCTTCGCGTCGTCCCCGTTCCAAAAATATCCATCTTGGACTTCAGAATGGCCTCGTCAATTTATTTTTCGTTCAATATAAAATAACAATTTATTACTACATATAATCCATATACCATCCCTATCGGCAATAGATATTGTTAGGATACTATCCAGCTACTATATTTTGATGCCCGATTACGCGACGCGTTACAAGTCAAATAAGTCCCGAATTGAAGTGGAAGTGGAAGAAACGAAGGAAGCTGTTTTCGAGTCATCAATTGCGTCAATTGAAAGAAGTCTTTGCTTCAAATGAAATGAACTGATGATCTTGACGAACGAAACAAGCGATAGCCATGTCATGTTTGCCAGGAGAAATGTTCACCGTAACTCGATATCAAGAGACACAATGACTTACACGAAAATGATAATGCTCGAAATGAAGCGATTCTGCGAAACTTTATTTACTTTTCCTTGTTTTGAAAATGCAGAACCCTGGTTCTTATAGACTTTGATTTGATACCTTTTGAACAAACTCCACGTGTCAAAAATCAATGCTCAATCCTTGTTGTCCTCGGCTATAATACAAATTGAATGTTGAACTAAAATTCCACAATATTTGTTCGTGTAAATATTAACCAGCGCATGGAGTCAGCGACATCAAATTCAGAAGTGAATCCGCAATTTGCTAATTGCAATTCTCGGAAGCATGTCACGCTGCTACGGAAAATGATGCTTTCGCGTCAATCGTGCTATTCAACTAGGGGAATTAATGTATTCTCGTCAATCTAAGCAGCGTTCGTGCTTCTATTGGCCTTGTCTCGACGTTTCGCAAACATATGTAGTGTTTGTTTGTTTACATTTATATGCTGCCTGCTGCTCTATTTATTCCAGTCGATAGAATGGTCCAAAACTGTTCTAAAACGCTTTTAAAACGTTCCAAACTTCTCAGGTGAGTGTGACTATTGTCAGCAACTATATTTTCTTAGGAAACCTTTCCATATGATCTGCGTTTTAACCTGCTGTTCTACGATTGGCAACTCGAAATCAGCTGCATCTTGTAGTATGTGTGTTTAATTTAAAATAAACCCGGGCAAAATGTGTCTACTTAGTCGTACAAATCTAATCATATTGAAACTGAAAGACTAGGGAATCGTTGAAATACATAAAGCGAATTGTTTTGGTGACAAAATGCATTGAAGTTTTGGTTGCTCAAAACAGTTAATGGGTGCCGAAGCCGACATTTACCCTTAAAAGAAAGAGTTGAATCAGTGTTGGTTCCTCGGGCAAATAAGGGAAGTCATTATTTCAGCCAGCCAGCGGATAACCGATTTTTGCAACACGCTAAGCCATATCGCGTTGCTGTTCAAACTCTTCTCGAAAAAGGTGCTCATCCGACAGAGATGACTGCTTCCCTACGTTCTGAATATTTCATCGCTTTCTGAGCATTGTAACGCCATTATCGGCTCCCGTCTTCGTTGGATGATGATCCAGGCTGTCTAATGAAGTTATTATCATCCATGCCAACAACAGCTCCGCTGTCTCGTACTCAAAGGCAGGTACGGAGAATATTTCCAACTCGTGAGCGTAGTTACTGAAATATTGATTGTATCGTTTCCATACGTGGAATTTTTCTAATCCCCCCACCTAAGGATTGTTGGGCGTTGGTCCAGTTTGCTGCTCCACGTTGCACATAAACCGGCCAACTAACCGCCGGCAGTAATGTACTCTAGTCGGTGTCGGAGTTGGGATGTTTAGGAATTTAAAATGAATATTTAACCAACTGTTCCAACCATCGATTCCATAATAAATACCTTCGTACAGGACCTCGGTCGCCTCTCGGTTGTTACAGTTTCAGTTTTTTTTTTTTCTAATAGAACACGCGAATGAGGTGGCACAAAAGTTGTTGAACCGTTGCAAATTGAAAAGTCCCGTACACATGTATGTGGTTGTATGGCTCGGTCGGACGGTTGAAAGGGAAAAGAATGAATGCTACAATTACACGGGGTTGAATTGAAAATTTAATTGGAATTGAATTTCATTGAAACTGGTAACGAATTCATCCTAACATTATGCAAGTCGTGACTTAGTTTGGTTTCCGTTGAGATTTCATAAAGGTGCCATCTGGTTCCTAATTCGAAAATGACAACTCGTTCAGCAATAAATTCCCGGATGAGAAGAGACTGGTGGTTCAAGGCACTAGCCCCCTCCACCACAGCCCACGTCGGTTGTTTTCGAGTGTCCTTTTTCCAGTCGAAAAGCTACGACCTTTCTAATTTATTACACCTCGTTTGTTACCGTCCTTTGAGGGTGGTACGCCTGGTGCCATAAATTCAGATTCAGCGGGAGGTGCTCGTGGCTTTTGCTACACGTCCCTCTCGCTGTTTTACGTTTCTTGGCCTTCATGCCGGACTTGGAACATCTTAACTGGAACAGATGCCTGCCCTCAACAAAGAGTTTTTTTTTTAGCTGTCATTTGACACTTTGTATATTACCGAACTAGGAATCGAACCCCACACCACCAGCATCGTATAACGCTCACGACGACTACCGGCGTGTTGCTCCTACAAAAGCGATTGAAGATTTATGATAACCGGAGCGGCGCGAACGACGGGCTCTGGGTGTTTGGTTAACCACAGGTAACAGCTTTACAACTCCGTTTGAAAGTTGGGAAATAACGATTTAATGCCATTTGTTGATGTTGGAAGGAACACGAGTGTTTTCGATTTTTCCTTTTTACTTCCCGGAACATTGTTTGAAGATGACTCCACGTGGCGAAGGTTACGTCATTCCGCACACGTTTTCATTCAGCTCTATTAATTATGCAAATCTGCCATCGCCGAGGGAACGTGGGAACAGAATCGGATCTTCCCATGGTGCTTCTTCGTAGACTTTGTTGGAACTGTTAAATTTTCCGAACTCCCAATGTATCAAAGCTCCAATAACACCGGATAAAGTACAAGTGAATCACTTAAATAGAATCACAGTTCATCAAGCGAGCGACATTTACTGTAGGCACGAGTGCACCTGCTTTTGCTCGTGGAATAGATAATGTGAAAACTAAGTGAAAAGGAACTGAGAGGCGAGAGCTCAGTCAAAAGTTAATATGCACGGCAAGAGCGAAGCTTAATAACATGCTGAGTGAATCTAATTAGAGAGGCAGAACGGAATGCTTTGAAGTACTGTGAGGTTGCATTTTTTTTCAAACCTACAAGTACGCGAGAATCATGGAAACATATGTGATTAAAATTTAGCTAATTAGGTCACTGCATGACATGTTCTGATCTTTTGAAAATGGTTTCCTGGGAAAGTATGGCTTTTACGGCTAAAGTTTCAAAGGGATCTCCATGTGTTTGGACGGAATTGACATTTATATGACGGAATTGGAATCAAGAAGCAGAGTTACATTTTTAGCAATATCTCATAGATTCTATCTTAGCAATATCTCAATCCAAAGGTATCTATGGAAAAGTATATAAATTAAGAAGTCATCTCTGGTAGAAACATTCCATTTTCTGTTCAAACCCGTTCGAAAAAGAAAGTACGGGTTGTGCTTAGAATGACGGAATTAAGATGTTAACCCTATGGACGGCATTCTCGCGCTACACGAGAAAAGGGCCTATCATTGTTGATCGATTCTCTTCATAGATTATCTCTTTCGAGAATAGCCCGACTGCAAATGAATTTCCCATTGAGTGTGTTGTTTCAGGCGCAAGCTAACATCATCTTCTGTCGAACTGTGCTGCGAGCTTAACGAGAAATTCGTTTATGTTACCGTGGTAAACCAAAGAGAAAATCGATGAAGAGAATTGATCAAAGAGGATAGGGCCTTTTCAAATTATACGCGAGCGTTCTGCACCACGAAATACAGAGTTATCAGATTCCGATTGTTCTTCTTCACGTGTTCAGTGTTGTTCGCGTAACGAACTATTGCCGGCCACCGAAGGGCTTTCTTCACTGCTATTAGGCAGCCACCGAAAAATGCCTTTTAATGCCACCGCACGGCAACGTTCACGACCAAGTCCCTTTTGTTGCGGGGAACTAGTACTATTCTCACTTGAGAGATAGTACACCAAGGAGACGGTGATATGATTGACACAGAGATACCGACCGCACGTCCGTTTCGTAGAACTTGTTATTATCAACTCTTGTTTGGGGTTATTTACAATATGTACACTGGATTGGATCTTCTGTTCGGTCCACGATCGGTTATAGGCGAGCGTTGGACAGAGGCTAGTTGCGCATGCGCTCTCTTGTTACCCACTCTCTCGCCTATATGTAGGGTATTGTGTGGTAGGTTTAAGGTAGGGTCAGTCTATCTGGTTTTGCTCCATCTCCAACATTCCGGCCACCTTGAAACACGGAGGTTTTTCAATCATCAACCACGAATTCACAGGTGCAGATGATGATCGCTCCGGGGTTTATCCTCGCCATTGACCGGGAACAAAAAAGAAGATCAGGTAGATCGAACGACTCGACTTGATAGGAATGGAACCGCAATTACCTGAATGCAGAACGGGTGCGCTTCGAGCAAGTTCTCCCTTTCGGGTTGCTCTACCTGGAACACTGATGACTTCAGATGCTTGGGTTCGGTGATGGTAACAGCGCTAGCTTGGCAACAGCTCGTACGATGTCCTTCCCTGGTGCAGTCCGTAGAGTCACGACTCGAACAACACCATCCTTCCCCGGATGCAGCTTGATGATCTTACCGAGCGGCCAATATGCAGGCGGGACATTATCCTCTTTGATGACGACAATTCGACCGACCTCAACGGTCACCGGTGGCTTGCAGCCTTTGGTAGCCCGTGATTGCAGTTGCTGCAAGTACTCAGGATACCAGCGAGCCCAAATGTTTTGGAGGTGCTTTTGGGTCTGCTCGTACAACTGTAAACGGTTATCAGGAACTCCACGCAGATCAACTTCTGGAACGGCTTGCATGTTGGACCCGATGAGAAAATGTCCCGGGGTAAGGACCTCCAGATCAGACGGCTCACTTGACATCGGCGTCAGCGGCCGGGAATTCAGGCACATCTCGACCTGGGCCAACAGCGTGACCATTTGTTCGTAGGCGATGTTGGTGTTGCCTACAGTTTTCAGGAGGTGCTTTTTCGTAGACTTCACCGCAGCCTCCCACAGACCTCCAAAGTGTGGTGCTCGTGGTGGAATGAACTTCCAACGGATTTCATTCTCGGAACACCAGTTGAAGATCCTGTCACGATCAGCTTGGTCCGTCTTAAGCATCCGATAGATGCGGTTGAGTGCGTGCGAAGCACCCTTGAATGTAGTAGCGTTATCCGAGTGCAATTCTGCGATCCTTCCTCTGCGGGCAACCACTCGACGAAGAGCTGCTAGGAATGCCGCTGTGGTAAGGTCACTTACTAGCTCGATGTGTACAGCCTTCGTTGCGAAACAGACAAATACTGCTACGTACGCCTTCGTTGGTGAACGATTACGGACAGTTGATTTGATGAAAAACGGTCCACAGTAGTCCACTCCGCAAATGAAAAAGGGGCGAGTTGGTGAGACTCGGGATGCCGGTAGATCTGCTGTGCTCTGCTGAACTAGTGTGGGCTTGCTACGAAAGCAAGTGTGGCAATGGTGGAAGACGGATTTTGATAGATTTCTACCACCCAGAATCCAGAATTTCTGGCGGAGAGTTGCTAGCAGGAGTTGCGGCCCTGCGTGCAGTAGCTTTAAGTGAAAGAAACTAGTCAGCAGAGTCAACAGCGGATGTTTGGCAGATAGCACGACGGGGTGTTTGACGTAGTTGGAGAGCGCTGCGTTTCGTAACCGGCCACCGACACGAAGAATATTGTCCTGGTCGATGAATGGACTCAGCCACTTTAAAGCGGAAGACTTGGCCACTCTTTCCCCGTTGACTAAATCGGCAATTTCTTCGGGAAACGATTGCTGTTGTGCCAGGCGACACAGTCGAAGTTCAGCACGTTGAAGCTCTACGGTGGTCAGTGGAGGAATAGGCTGGTTTTCAATGCTGAGAGTGGTGTACTTTACCGGATCACAACGGCGCAGCGATGCACGTTCTCGTAAAGAACGAACGTAGCGTAAGCAGACAGCTGTAACACGACGAAGCTTGGAGAAACCAGAGTAACGAGCAAACAAATCGTCGCAGAAGTCCACCTGAACAACGGTCATCGCAACGAGTGTTGCCTTACGAACTTCTTCATCAGTCGCTCCCGTTTCTTCTTCGGATGGAATTGGTTTCGGCCAGGCTTCCGGAGCACGTGACAGCCACTCAGGACCGTTCCACCAGCGCTTGCATTGCAGAAGGTCCACTGGATTCAGTCCTCGCGAGATATCATCAGCAGGGTTCTCGATGCCAGCAATGTGTTTCCAGCAGTTCACGTCGCTTGCGTGCTGGATTTGCGCTACCCGATTCGCTACGAATGCCTTCCAACGGCTAGGCGATGATTGTAGCCATTGAAGAACGGTGGTGGAATCCGTCCAGAAGAAAGCAGTGGCAGATATCTTCAGGGCAGCATTCACCTTCTTGTAGAGCTGCGTCGATAATCGTGCAGCGCAGAGTTCTAGCCGGGCTATCGAATGCCGACTGAATAACGGCGCAACCTTGGATTTGGCCGTCAGAAGTTGAATTGAAACACCGTCACTAGTTTCGGCCCGCACGTAACAGCAGGTCCCATACGCTCCCTTGGAGGCGTCGGCGAAGAAGTGAAGCTGAATGCTAATAGCGTTAGGCAGCGAGACGAATCGTGGAGCACGAACTTCACTCAATAAATGGTGAGTAGCATGGAAATCCTTCCATTCTTCTTGCAGCTTGCGGGGGAGTGCAGTATCCCATTCGCAATCTTCACCATTCTGCTTCAAGGCCCACAAACGCTGCATGAACAGTTTGGCGACAACGATCGTAGGACCCACGAGACCAAGCGGGTCGAAGATTTGAGCGATGTAAGACATCACCTTACGCTTCGTCAGGATCGCAGCAGGAAGTGGTAGCTGGACCTTGAAACGAAGTACGTCGTTCGATGGTTCCCAGACGAGACCGAGAGTTGAAACTGCTGGCTCATCTTGTAGGTCGTGTAGAGGTTTAAGCGCCAGATCTTCCGGTGGAACGTCCTGGAGAATCTCAGGAATATTTGATGCCCACTTCTTGATAGGAAATCCAGCAGCACTGAGCATCTATGTTACCTGCTTGTGAAGCTGGATGGCAGATTCTACATCGTCGGCACCAGACAGAAAATCGTCGACGTAGAAATCGTGGATCACCGCTTCTACAGCAGCTGGAAATTGGTCTCCATTATCTAAAGCGATTTGTTGCAGAGTCCTCGTGGCCAATAACGGAGCAGACGCAGTACCGTAGGTGACTGTCTGCAGTTCGTAGGTGGAAATCGGATCGGTGGGGCTCTTCCTGAAGCGGATTCGTAGGAATCTTCGGTCGCTGGCGAAATGAAGCATTTGGCGATACATTTTCTCCACGTCGGCAGCCATAGCAACGAAGCGAATGCGAAACCTCAGCACTAGTGCTTGAAGATCTTCCTGAATGACTGGACCAACCAATAACGTGTCGTTCAGTGAATATCCCGACGACGTCTTGCACGACGCGTCGAATACGACCCTGACCTTCGTTGTTGTACTCGACTCCTTGAAGACGAGTCGCCGCTCGATGCTTCGCAGACGACGATCTGCGATTTCTCGGGAGCTTCCTAGGACAACTTCGGGATTGTCGGTTTGAGGAAGACTGACGATGTACCTCCCAGATGAATCACGAGTAGTGGTCGCCGCGTAGTGTTGCTCACAGCGATTTTCTTCCACAGATAGTGGTGGACCATCGGAGCTGGTTTCGATTTCCCAGAACTTCAGGAGTGCGGTTTCTAGCGGATCGTCCTTTGTCGAAAAATTGCAGATCCGAGGAATGCATTTTGACTGACTGGATGCAGTCCCAGCGACAGCCCATCCGAATGGTGTTTCAGTCAACCATGGAAGATCATTTCCTAATGACATCTTCCGACCAGTATGGAATTCCCAGAAAGCTTCACTGCCGATGACGAGGTCTATCCTTCCTGGGACGTGGAACTGTGGATCTGCAAGTGCAACTTCCGGTAAATTCCATGACGAAATGCTGATCGGCATTGTCGGTAGCTCCGCTGACGGATTCTTGAGGACTAGGAACTGAAGCTTCGTGGAGAATTCCTGCGTTCTCGATTGAACCGTTGCCGTGACAGCACTTTTTACGTTCTGCGTCGAGAGACCGATTCCTGCTATCGATATGTCCACCTTCGACCGAGGGTTGAATAACAGCTTCGCCAGCGGTTTCGAAATGAAGTTGGACATTGACGCTGAGCTCACACCGGAAGAACCCACACTTGTGGATGGAATCGATTGCTGTACAGAAGAGGATAAAGATCCTGTAGAACTTGACGATATCTTGGAGGGACCAGAATCATGCAGCAGAGAATGATGCCGGTCGTGACACGTTCGACACGTGAACTTTGAGACACACTTCTTCGATTGATGTCCGCTTCCCAGACAGTTCCAGCACAACCGTTTCTGCGTCACGAATTCTCGGCGAAGGCGTACATCCTTCCCGAGGAATACTGGGCAGTTGCGAAGGACGTGGTTGTCAGAACAGGACAGCGGACAAGAAGAATTCGAACTGGAGGATGCAGCGGCGTTTGCTGCGAACTTGAACTTGGAGGGCTCCGGTGTGCTACCGGCCACCTTTGAAGATGCCGGTTGCTGCTGTTGATCGTAGCCAACGGAGTTTAACACTCGAACACGCTGGCGGAGGAATTCTACCAGTTCGTCATACTTGATGTCGTCCTTTTCGCTCGTCTTCTGTGGATTGATCCAGCTTGTACGACAGGAGATTTACCAACGGAGTATCCCAATGCTCCACAGGTTCGTTCAATTTCGCGAGCGCCCGTACATGGCGCTGGAAATCATCGACTAGGTTGTGGGTGCGTTTAGCAGACTCCTGCTTCACCGCCGGCAAATCGTAGAGTGTCCGGAAAAGCTGACGTTTGAGGAAACGGCGATTATCGTACCTCTTGATGAGAGCATCCCACGTAGATGCGTAATTGTCGGCTTCAATATCGATGGACTCGAAAGGCTTCTTTGCATCCCCTTCGAGCGACTGCAAGAGGTATTGCAGCTTGGCGACCGTTGGTATGTCAGCATTGGAGTGAACCATGGACGAGAAGGCGTCTCGGAATGACAACCAACGTGAGAAGTCGCCATTAAAACGTGGCATGCCGATCTGCGGTAAACGTAGGTGGAAGGTGGTTGGAGGAGCGGCAAATGAGTTGTTCAGCTGTGCCTGATTAGCATCAACCGGACGTTTCGATAGGAGGAAACCTTTCGCCGTGCAGTAACTGTGCTCAAAATTCACTCTTTCTACAAGATGTTCCTCTAGATTTTCGGAGTCTAGTCGTTCGATAGTGTCCTGAACCTCCAAATACGCATGGTTCACTCGGTCTAGAGACTCGATTCTCACTTGCACTTGGTATCCGTCCCGCAGTGCTTCGAAGTCTTTGATGAATTTCTCCACAGCGTTACGGGTAGCGATCAGCGACTCACGCTGTATCATTTTTTCGGCGAGCACTTTCTCCTCCTTGGACGGCATCGTAACCGAACACACGACCGGAAAACGTACGGAAACGGTAGAAAATCGATAACGGAGCTCCTTCCCGACGCGAACTACACGTTTCTTCGCGAAACCGAACCGGCGAGGCCAACACACAAATCGATCGATTCAAATCCTTCCCGTCGCGGTGTATTGCCTACACGGCGAAATATACGAACGGGAAAGGGCAGTTTTATCTCGAAAACGATTACTCCTTCCCGTCACGAACAAACCCAATCCTACACTCAACCGGTGGATGTAAGATTCGCTTACAATTATGTGGGATTCATCATCAGAGGATGTAAGTGGAGACCGCATGAACCGAGGATGCGATATACCTAGCTGCGGTCCGATGTAAGAAAATTGGAGACCGAAAAATAGTGAGTGAAATTGATTATGTCGAAAAAAATAGAAAAAAGGTTGCCGACTGGACTCGAAACCACGGACGTTGCGACTATCAGACCTGTGCTTTCTCCACTGCTCTCTCCATGCTTCTGAATATGGTTAGCCTAAAAGCAAACATCAAGCGCTCATTTTCTCGCATGCTCGACTTCGTATGCTTTTTCTGCTGGAGAGATTCGAGACAAGTGTGTGCGTCGTTCTACAATGTTCTACAATGTGCGTTTTTCTACAAGCTTACTGGTATAGTCGAAAGCGTAGATGGAACACGAAATAAAAAAAGACAAAAAACCATTACATCGCCTGCATGGTCAATTCCTAACATTCGTTGCGATGTTCATGAACAGAGGATGATAGGAACTGGAACTAACATTCATTGTAATAGATTTTTGGTTTGCGTGTACGCGGTATCGCAATCAGGGGCGCGAACGGTTTTCCACCTGAGTTGCGTACCGTCTTCCACCAATTGCCACAATGACTATAAAAAATGCGAAAAAGTCACCCAACTTTCGTCAACCAAATGAAGTTGAATTCAATTAGGTTGGAATAGTCTTTCAATTTTGAATGCTACTGCTAGCAACATGCATAGAGATAATATGGAACGGACTCACCAGGTCACCCTATCGGCTATCAGTTGCTTGAAGATGATCGAAGCCAATTCCAGTAGTGATATCTACACCACCGAAAACAGCAAGTAGCGTGGAGCCAGCAGCCTTTGTTCTGGGAGGGCGCTACGATGGCCTCGAAAATGGTTTGATAATGGCGCCGATCAGGAGTTCAGTCACCTCCTGGAATGACCACACACTGCAAAATGGCCACAAAAAATCTTCTCCACAATTGCACAGAGTAACATCCGCCTTGATGCACGCACAAATAGAAAAGGTTTTTTCCACTACAATTCACTTAACACAGTGACGATTATTATTCAATCACGGGCTAATTAATTAGCACCACCGTGATGATATCGCGCACGCGGCATTGGCTAATAATTCTTCTAGACTATAGCACTGAGGTGTACCCGCCTTGGTAGCAACCTCTGAGCGCGATGGCGCTTTTCTGCCAATGACAATGGCCACACTAGGCCAGTGCGTCTGGTCGTAAATTCAGGTCAAGTCACTGACACTTTAAAGCACTTTCCGGCCGCGGAATGGCCTTCGAACCGGCTCGAAGGACCAAATGTTCGCGTAACGAACTATTGCCGGCCACCGAAGGGCTTTCTTCACTGCTATTAGGCAGCCACCGAAAAATGCCTTTTAATGCCACCGCACGGCAACATTCACGACCAAGTCCCTTTTGTCGCGGGGAACTAGTACTATTCTCACTTGAGAGATAGTACACCAAGGAGACGGTGATATGATTGACACAGAGATACCGACCGCACGTCCGTTTCGTAGAACTTGTTATTATCAACTCTTGTTTGGGGTTATTTACAATATGTACACTGGATTGGATCTTCTGTTCGGTCCACGATCGGTTATAGGCGAGCGTTGGACAGAGGCTAGTTGCGCATGCGTTCTCTTGTTACCCACTCTCTCGCCTATATGTAGGGTATTGTAGGTAGGTTGTGGTAGGTTTAAGGTAGGGTCAGTCTACCTGGTTTTGCTTCATCTCCAACAAGTGTTGTAAGCGGTCACAGTAGTTGACTTATTGCTGTGATAATCTGTTGCCTTTCCTTCTCACTCTCGCAACGCAAGCTATCAAAATGCAGTACCAAACTAAAATGTCATATGATACGGCTCTCAAACGACTGTGCCGCCGAAGAACGTTACGTGTTTGTTTTTTCTTCTCATTCTGAGATCTGATCATGCCGTGCTTGTGTCAATTCTCAATATTATATGCAACGATGTCCGAGTGGATACATTTCAGATCAGAAATAATTGAAATATACACAGAATAGGAGAATCACAACGAAGTGACGGTATATGATAGTTATTTTACAGTTTTCCTTTTACGCGAATGTTGTTCTACCGTTCGTGCTGCGTGAGTTGTAAATGTATGAATTTAGTAAAAATCATTCACCGTCTAACCACTTCGCGTGCCACAACCAGACGATCGCCAAATTGCCTGCAATCGAGATGTCTTATTAACAAAACTCCACTGACAGTGACTATTCCCCAGGAGGAAAATTGTCACAACAAATTACCGACCCATACGCCATATCCTCATCGAAAATTCATGAATAGCCGCCCAGCTGGTGACAGCGATCGAACAACCAGAAAAAGCTCCCCCAACAGAGACCCGACTCTGTAGCCACCAAAATTTGATTACAAATCAATATTGTTTCCGGAGATTTCGTACGGATTGTCTGCTTTTTTCCCTATCCCTATTGAATTCATCTGCGGTATAGCCCACATTTGCGGACACCGACAGACACGCAATTTTCCATCGAAATGGCATAATCCCATATGAGCGGCGCTGGAGTTTTTTTTTTTCGTGTTGCCCCGACCAACTCCGGCACACGCAGTAGATTCATTGTTTTTCCCCACGCTCGTTTGTTTACCGAGCCGGGAAAATGTGGCGAATGAATGATACTTTTGCCTACATACGGGGGCGCACTTTATTTGGCACTGAGAGTCACTCAACAGATGGCACTTTTACAATTTCATGCCTATCAGCTACTGTTGCTGCTGCTGCTGGTGCGAGGAATAAAAAAACAGAAAGCGTAGCAATTTGACGTGATGATGCTTGAGAGTCCTAAAAGGGTAAGCGCATTACCTACCAGGGCAAGGGGAGAGGCTTAACGAATTGTGTATTTTGGGAGCCATTTTTCATGTTCCCTTGTGAAATGCGAGTTTTTATCTTGCTACTGGAATCTCGGAATGTGAGTAATACAGTTGAATTATGCAATATGAGCTATAGGTACATCATTCTTTTGTTCATGAGCTTGCTTTAAACCAATCTTGAAAATATCTGCGCTGTGAAGTATGAAGAGTGAGTGGCGAGAAAAACTATGAAAATGATTCTTTCCGTGAATAATTTCCTACTGGCGTTTCTACACTTCGGCGTCAGTGGCAAAAGAAAAATTATATCGCAACAAGAAGGCAGTCTTGAGTGAGCTGCTATTCATTAGTTGGTTCCGGTTGTGCTCTTGATCATTTGCTGTGCATTCCGTTGGCGACTGAAAGTATAGCATTTGTTTTATTATTTTTACACAATTAAAAATTACCCCTAGTATCCGATTCATCAAGTAGAATCTTGAAACTGCATGAAGACAAACTGAAACTGGTTCATTTTCTTTCTGGCAGTTGAGTCGAGATGTTGATTCTGATTCTAATTAAAATTAGGTATAATAAATTAATCGTCTGAATAAAAAATATCAATCAATACAGTAAATCAAAATTGAAGATACGGACTTGCTTCCCAAGACAAAATGGCGTATTAAAAAAAAAAACAAACATTTGTGTAAAATATACTAATGTCAAAAAAAAAAATTGCCTCCTGGAGAGTTATTTGCAAAAAAAATTGATTTTCTGAGGGCTTTTACAAAAAAAAATGACAAATGGGCACAATCTTAAATCCATAAGCCAACATTAGAGCCAATTCCCTTATCTCTGTTAATATAAGAGATTTTTTTTTTTAGCTAGTTCGTTTATTTACTAGGCTCAGTCGTGTGTGACACTTTGCGGAGCCAAAATCAGTAATGTTTGATTTACATTTTAAATACAGTAATGCCCCGTTTTCGTCAGCCCCCTGATGAATTTTGGGCTGACAAAATCGGGACATTTTTTTTCGCTTAATTTTTTTAACATAATATCTTTAAATGCTGTTTGATAATGCAAGATTTATGTTTAAGGAATCATTCAATATATACGAGCCCATTTAGGGGGCAGGGGGAGCTGGAATTTCAAACTTTTCGTAAGTGTCATATAAGGAAAGACATTCTTACATTTGTGGGTTGGGGGGGGGGGGGCTAAATGAACTTAGGTAAGAATTGAATGGCCACTCAATACATATGTTGTTAAGCATTTTCAGTAAGGACAACAATAATAATACATAGTGCATAATAAAGACTTGCATATGTCCCATGGACCCCATATTAATATTCTATGAATGAAATTTGTAGAGATGTTGACACACACACACACATACACACATACACACACACACACACACACACACACACACACACACACACACACACACACACACACACACACACACAACACACACACACACACACACACACACACACACATACACACTCACAATTTTTTTTTCCATAAATTTATTGAATATGGTTAAATAATCAATTGACCATTTCATCTCATGGGCGAAAATCGTCCCAAACTACGCTACCAACATTTCAAGCCACGAAATTCGAGGAATTGTTCACAAAATAAATGGTTCTGCTCTCCACTGTCGCACTCTTCTCTTTTGCTCTGCATTTTCTGCCATAGGCTCTACTAGAACTTGTGACCGAAAGTGGAAGACGAAGGCTTTCGACAAGGATCTGTTCGTTGAGGCACTTCGTGTGGACAGGAGTCCCGCAGATCTAAATGCGGACGAGCTGACAGAAACGTTAGTGAGAGCATGTGACACGACCATGCCGAGGAAACTGGAGCCAAATAACAGACGGCGTCCATTCTACTGGTGGAACGAGG